GTTCTGGAGAAAATAGGAATGAAGGTCTGTAGAAGCAAGAAAAAATACTTTACGTGTATAAATATGAGGGAGACGAGAAGAACAGTGAAGCTGTAGTGACCAGAAGTGTTGAAGCCAGATGATGGTTTAAGAACCTACGATCAGCCGTCCAAATCGCACGAGAACTAAAGAAGAAAGTTCAGGAATGTTGGAGTGGATTGAAACAGGTGTCAGGTTGATTTGTGACAGAAGAGCTGCTCTTAGTTTTGCTCATATAAAATAAGATGATCCTTGATTTTGTGGAGTTTAGAGTCTCGATCATGTGTATGATTTTGCTTTGAAAGTTTGCTGAAAGAGTGCTGAGAGTTTAGCCGCTGAATGAGAAAAGGAACATCGGTTTATTTCCCTCCCTCTCTTTGCAGGCAGGGAAGAACTGTCTATATGGGACTGCATTCTGCCCACCCCATTCCTCCTAGTGCAGACGTTACATCTTTTGTGACACGGAGTGTGTCCATGATCACCTTTCTGAGAATGTTGGTGCCCTCGTGCCAGTGTGATTAATAGCTGCTTTTGAACTCTACTAAAATATGGGGGCATCTGAAAGCCTATCTCTAATGGCTCATCTCTCCTTGGGCAATCCGCTTTGCATCACCTGCTCACCTCCATCCAGGATACACACACACATATATATAAACACATACACACACACTCCCAGTTACCCATCACTTAAATGAGAAAGAAGGGGGTCTTAATTTTATTCCGTATTTTTTATAGGGGATGATCTATATCAATGATGTGACACTGACCATGTTGGAGCTTGTCTACCTCCTTTTTAAACTTGTCAAAAGGCTTTCAGTGATCGCTTAAAAATAACTCCACATTTGATTTTCTCTATGCTATGTTTGAGTTTTGTCACAAGCATTTTCTAAGCTGCAGATGAATCTGCCACTTTCCTTGTGTACATACGGGATGAGAACATCTTCAGAGGAAGTAATCCCTTTCAGTTTTTCCTCTTTGATGGGTCTGCAGAAGTACAGCTCTGATTACTGATGATGAAAGTAATCGACAAAAGATGAAGCAGAGGAAAAACAGCGAGGATGCGAGGAAACTCTGGTTTAATAGACGAGTGCTGAAGCGCAGACATGCATTCATTCTATATCCAAACACAAAACCGGTGCAGTCGGGCATCCCTAAATGAACGCACAGATACACTCAGATAGCCCAGACATTAAGCAGCTCGATTAACATGAGGAGAGTGATCTGCTGTAATCACACACAGAGTATTGCATCTGGCAGCAGAGAGGCTTTTCGCACATCGTAAATACATCCATCGCTGTCCACACAATGCTGCCAATTTAAATGCAAATCCTGACATTCCCATCATTCAGCTGCACCACATCAGCCCAGATCTAAATGGGCCACAATCTACACAACTGTACATTATATCTGTGCTAAACTGTCTGTGTGTTAAAGTGTGTGAAACACAATTGTGACACATTATGGCAGAGAGAAATATAGATGCTGACGTGACACAAATTGTAGTTTATGTTGATTTTAGAGAAAATGATTCTGAAAATGTGAAGCATTTCAAGTCAGATTCATCTTTCACTTCCTGTGAAATGTCTTGTATTCAACTTCAAAGGAAATCTGGATATTGGCCTGCAAATGTGGGAGTGGGATTAGATCTTGTAGAATCTGAAAGGAAGTATTTATTAACCACCAGCAGATATACATACAAGTTTTGCTTGCTTTCCATGCAGTCTGTTATGCAGCTCAGTGTTTTTAACCAAACCTCAAAACAACAGTCGTTCTCCAGATGATGGGCTGTAATCAGGTTCTTAATGTGCCCCTCCTTTTACACTGCAATTCCAAGCTGCCTTTGAGGTTTTGTGGCTCACCCACTTGTTCCACAGCGCTGTAAAATAAACAAATAAATAAACAAAGTTTATAGAGTGGCAAAACAGTTTGCCAAATGCATCTCAGATTAGACTGGTCTGTTCAGTCAAAACCTACTTTGGTTACAGCACATTGACTCTTTTAGCTCAGTTAACTTGAAGCATTTGGCTACAAGTTGAGGCTCTACAACCTCTGTGGGTCACTCAGTGGCTTCTTCCTTCCATCTTATCAGAACAAGAGGATTTAATATTTTGACACATTGTTCAGGTAGGAGTTCACCTCTGTTCATCTTGTGTCGATTCCTCTGGCAGAAAAATGCACTGAGTAAAGTAAATGTCATAAAAGCCAATATGTTTTTGTGAAGCATATATCAGAGCTGAGGGGAGAAAGCATGCAGATCCCCACACAACCTCCTCAGTATACCCAGGGAAAAACTGAAAAAAAAAAACAACGTATAACTAATATAAATATGAGTTTTATATGAAAAATATTTTTCAACAACTAACTTTGGACGCCGCTTGAATGCACCACCAACCATTGTGCAACTGATTTATGCCATGGAGGTAAACAAGTGTCACACTGTAGGGCGGGTCAGGGGATGGTAGCGGGTATGCATGAATACACAACTCCTGTTTAGTTTCATTCCCTAGTAGAAAATGCCAGACATAGTCTCATCTTTTCTGTGCAACATGCCATAAACGACTGAAATTTGTCTGTCCCTTTTCATGTCAGAGTTTAAGGGTGTATTCACACCAGGAAAGACATTTGGTCCACTTGTTTGGAGTGGTTTGCATTCACATTGTGCTTTTTGCAAGTGGACTATAATTTATACACAAAGTGACGCAGGTGACCGTCATTGCTCCCGTTGGACAGTAATGATGGGGGCAGGACAGAGCAAAGACACAGAAATAAAGATGGTGCTATTAATACAACTGGCTATTAAGAATATCAAGAGCAGCTCGTTCAGTGGTGGTTTTGCAATGTTATATTTATAATTTTGGGACAGCATTGTCAAATGTGGGCAGCAACCTAAAGGAGACAAGTTGCTGACCACAAACCGCTCATTGTTTGTAGCACCGTGTTAGCATTAGCAACACTGAAGGGCTTATGTTGCTTAGCAATGGTGGCTCGTGAAGTCCAAAAGGTGCATATCTCCTGCAGCAGGTTCAGTTCGAGGCCGGGCTGTATTCACACCAGAAGCAACCTGCACCAGAGTTCGTTTGGAAGCGGGCCAAAACCACCTCAAAAACGGGTGTCGATCCGGTTGTTTGATCTGCACCAGGGTTCACATGAGTGTATTCACACCTGCATAAAAGGTCCGGGCCAACTGGCCAAGCAAAGTTTGGTCCATTTCAAGCGGGCCAACGTGTCAGGTGTGAATACACCCTAAAACTAAGATCATCTTATGTAGAGAAATGATGGACCATTTTAGTTAGAACTTGAAAATAATATTATGCACAATCTCACGCAATATCACAAGATCTAGCACAGTATATTAGCTCTCAGAGGATGTGCTATACTGTACATGTCTCTCAGCTACAGTATCACCTGAACAAATTTTAGCTCAGTATATGTAAAACTGACTGTTGAAGCCTTTTTTGTGTTTGCAAAGCTAAAGTTATCTTGAAGTGGTTTGATTTCAAAAGGTGCTCAATTGCAGATGCATATCACCACTTCCTGAGGGTTTCATCAAATCCATCTAATGGTTCCTAAACAATTTATTAATACAACAAATAGACATTTGCTCACACGTCATAGGCTAAAACATTATCACTCACCTTTCGCCATTCATGAACAGACGATAAATATTGTAGTCAGAGTATCAGCAGTGTTAAAGGTAGCTCTTGGGGGTGGCTGTGACATAGTAGTTAGGGGGAGTCGTCCCAAGTCGTCTGTGTGATGCCGGATTGATCCCCCTGCTCCATCTTTCTGTTGTAGAGTGTATTTTCCCACCATCAGTGTGTGAAAGTGTGTTTGAATAAATAATGCATGAAAAATTGTAAAGTATTTTTGAGGGTCTAGAAAAGCACTATATAAAATTAATACTGTACATTATAATTATTAATAATAGTAGTAGTAGTAATAATAATAATAATAATAATAATAATAATAATAATAATAATAATATTATTACTATTATTATTATTATTATTATTATTATTATTATTATTATTATTATTATTATTGTTAAGTCTGTATCATCAGAGTGGGCTCTGAAAGTGAAAAATCCATCATCCTATGATGGGAGAGCCTTAAATAAAAGTAAATAACCTGCACTCTAGGAAAAAAAAGATCTGTCACTGAAATTGAGCACCTATATTTTTGCCCATGTTCCCATAAAGAAATTTATGAGGCTATCTGAACCATACACTATATACTCTAAGAGGCTTTGGAAATAGCAAATCATTGAAGGAAACCCCCCTGTTGAGCACTTTGCCACTTAATTCTGTCACAAAAAACGAGTTAAGCTCAATACTGGTTAAGGCTCCAGCACCATTAGCAGTAATGTTAATGAGGATAATGCCAGCTGAGAAATCCCAAGGTGTTGGCCATTAACATTTTAGCAGCTGCATGCAAGTGTTTGGAGCAAAGGGAGCCCTGGAGCCACTGTAGGGGCTCAAAGTCCTCCCTGTAGGAATTCCATAGCGCTTTTCTCTTCTCCCCGAGGGAACATATATCAAATCCCGTTTTCTGAGATGCTTATAAAGAAGATTTTACTTTTTTTGTTGTTATGCCTCTGTAGCTTTGTGAGCTTTTATTTTTATTCTTTGTGCAATCCTTTCCTATCTCCAAGTCACTTTCTCTTCAACTCAGTTTGTTGAAGTTTGACGTGTTTGTTACTTCTGCCTGATGTGGAATAAAAAGCAGATTGCTGCAAGCCATTTCACTTCTTGCAAAGGATTGTCGTCACAGTCCCCCTGACAAACCTGATAATAACAGATTCAAACCACAGATCACCTTGTCCTTTCGGTTACCTTTTCTCTTCATTAGTCAGTTGGCCTCACCTCAATTGGCCTCAGTCAAAGCCTTTCTTCCTGGCTGTCTAATTCTTCTCAGATAAATCTGAGTCCTTTCATTTATCACTTCTATCTTAAGGGTCCTAACTGTCCACTTCTGTTTTGCAGGGGGTATCCAGATGACCCCATTGAGGCAGAACTGATTGAGGAGCGCCACCCTTACATCCATGGCATGTATTCAGCACCACTCGCTCAGCCTGAGAGGGGGAGCATGGCCAGTCTGGATAGAATGGGTGGCCGACGTTCGCCTTCCATCGACAGCATCCGCAAGGACCCGCGTTGGCGGGACCCGGACCTCCCAGAGGTCATTGCCATGCTGGGTCACCCTATTGACCCAGTGAAATCCAACGCTGCTGCCTACCTGCAGCACCTGTGCTACGAGAACGACAAGATTAAGAAGGACGTGCGCCAGCTGAAGGGGATCCCTGTACTTGTGGCACTTTTGGATCATCCCAAGTCTGAAGTTCACCGCAAAGCTTGTGGCGCTCTGCGAAACATCTCCTATGGTAAAGACAATGAGAACAAGGTAGCCATTAAGAACTGCGATGGCATCCCGGCCCTTATTCGTTTGCTGAGGAAGACCAATGACATGGAGGTTCGAGAGCTCATCACAGGTAGAGTGAACATTTTCACTAGAATATATTAGGCTGTTTTTAGTTCTTGTTCTGAAAAAGCCAAAGGTATCAGATACAACTCTTCACATAAAATGAAGCCACCCAGTGATTATCTTAGTTCAACTTAACATAAGGTATTTTGACTATATTTCCTGTGCTATACATTATTGTACTGTTTTAGCTTTATTTTCAGTTTTCATTTATTCATCTGTTAGTATGGCTTTATTAAGGGCACCCAAAAAAACAGGGCTYATCAGTGAAATCGTGGTGAAACAGATGGAAAACAACAGCCCACTCTATACCTGAAATATACTTCATAATAGAAATATCATTCAAACTTTAATCGGCTCATAGAAAATTGGATGTCTTTGCATGTCTGAAGCGTCACTTTGATACGTTTTAAGGGCTTTACACAATTGTGGTTTGTTTTCTGATCTTTATAGATTTCTTCACATAATCTTTATCTGACAGTTGAAATGTTTGAAAATGTCAGATCTTTTGCAAACAAATACTTCTTACACTCACATTTTATTTTGGGGACATACAGTATGAGTTTTTTACATTACAATGTAGGCATTCTTGTCTTCTTTCAACCAGTATTACACTCAGTCTGCTGCTCACAGTTGAAACATTTGTAAGACTTTTTGCCCAGCGTCTGTTTGTTTGAGTCTGTTTCTGTCTCTTAAATTTGCTGTCAGGAACTGAGAGACACAGATGTGTGGTTAGTATGAGCCACTGACAGCAGCTTTACACTTTTTTATAGTTTATGCATCAAAATGTAAAACTTTTGTTTTAGTTTGTTCCAACATTGATGCTGGAATACTTTCTTTTTTAAAACTATTCCACTCAGTTGAAGTTATACATAAAGTGTTAACTGTCTTTTCTACTAATTGTGTGACTTTCTTCCTGTTTCTTAATATTCTTAGCTTTATTCCATATAGTACAATTCTACTTTGAAGCTTTAAGTCAATATGATGATACTTTAGTATGCCAGTCCCTCCCAATCATCAGCTGCATACTTTCTGTCACATACATATATACTCTGTCCAGTTGTCTGCCATAACTGCATGCTTTGCATAGCAATGCAGTTCTCTGAGTCATGCTACATCAAAAAGCAGAGTATCTTTTTCACATTTTACTATTCAGCAGTACTGATGTCTATATATCATCCTGGACCTTTTACATTCTCTGATATGTCCCAGGCATACTGGATTAATTTGCACTAAACTGCATGAATCCCATTATGCTGGTAAGAGAAGATAACTATGCATTCAAAGCTGCAATTAGTCATTCTTTTAATTATAGAGAAGATACATTTCAGTAAATTATCTTAATGCGTGTTGAGAATGCCATGCTTTAATGAGCAAATTCTCCCTCTCAAAGGTCTTTCCTTTCCTAGAGGTGTTGCAAACGTTACAGCTTTAGAACAAACAAGGTGATAATATTTCATTGTTTTACCCTCTGTGCTGCAAGCCGGAAAGTGAGAGCCTTCCACTTAGAAATGTAAAACGCTTATAAATATTGATTTTTGTTGGAAAAAAAATCTGCATTTGATAATGGGGTATGTTTTAATTCTTTTAGGAGAAGCTATTGATTCAGATACTCAGATAGAATGTCTTCTGGTTCTGTTAAATGTCAGCTGGAGAATATATATGTACGTGTGTGTGTGTGTGTGTGTGTGTGTGTG